TTGTAAAACTTCGATTGTTAAAATTATAGAAAGACTTAATACAGATGCTTTAAACGATCACACATGACAGCACTCTAGGCCATAGACCTACCTTATGAGAAGAAAGGACAGTTACATAGCCTGTGTCATCAAACTTCTAGAAAGGATATCACAAACTACGGCTTAAAATGACTAGTCGATTTCGTTTAAAAGCATCTATTGATCATTTCCTAGGGGAAGAACGTATTTAAAATATGTAGGTTCTGTAAAAAATATTCTATAGGCCTCAAGCGTATTGACCCTTTAAGATTATTTGCATTATGGTAACGAAGTAAATAACACCGCAATAACTGGTGTTCGACTGAAGGTCCATATAATGTATCTCAAGGAGCTATCCTTAGTTCATGTAGTTAAAATTAACAGATTATTACTCCTTAATGTTACTATGTACATGTGTTATAAAATGTTTTCACTAGAGGAATTGGAAAACATTGCGATATGCCTATAAATTGACGATAAATAGTTCCCCTTTGTGTGTTACTTCAGTAGGCATACCGTACTGATTGTGAAATTAATACGGTAGTCGTTGGTGTGGATGGAGGGGGATGAGTAGGTTTTTATAGTGGCGAATTTAGGATTTAAAAAAACGGAAAGGCGCTTTGTTCTAAGAACTTTGCCTAGGGCTATGGGCTGTTAGGACCGCATGAGAGCCCATTATGTTTTGCAGGGTGTAGCTCCAAGGGATACTGGTTTCTGTTAAATTTTAAAAGAATATGTTTCCTATGATAATTCAGAACATCTTCTTATAATTATATCTAAATGTATATTTAGTAGTCCGTTGATAATGAAGAAGTTACTAAAACCAAACAAAAACGTATTACTACTTGTTACTGCTTTTCAAAACAGTAAGTACAACTAATGAATCATGTCTATAATAATAAATTGCAAGGGACTGAAAAAAAATCCTCGGATAGATAGTCTTATTTCAGGTGTTTGATACTCTTAATTACACATGAAGCTATCACCATAAAACTCGCAGTTTCAACACATATGCATTAAAAAAAGTAGAATAAAATATATTCATCAGTTTCGTTATTAAGTTTCATTATCACTTAAGCGAAATATAAGTCGACAGCGAAGTGTAAAAACAATCCGCCTTGGTCGTTGTTATTAATATTATCTACCTATTATTAAATAGATTATTTCTTAAGGGAATTAATGGATTCTCCGATGGTATCTTTTATCGCATTGCAACGCTTTGGAAAAACTCACTGCCAGTTCGAACTTCGAGCTTTGCCTGTCCACGTCGGAAACTTTTAAAGCAATGTGGTTGTGTTCTCTTCTCGTAAATATTTACTTTGCTTATACATTTCAATACATTTTATTTTGTAATTTACACTGCATATTATAACATTAGCATTGTGTTGGGTGATTCTTATGAAAAATATATTTTAAAAATGGATGGCATATTGGTGTCTCCGGATCGTCCCCGTGTCGGCCACTTCTATGTATGATTTGGAATCAAACTTCAGCACCACAAAACAGGTCGTATCGCCTTAGTAATAGGTTAGTATTTGTAAAATACAGACGAAATAAATCATAAGGCATATTTCTTGTGAAGTATTATTGTTCTTCTGTACATTCTTAAATGTAAGTTATGATCAGTCACGTTTTAATTTGAGAAAGCTTGGTGTATGGAGCGTCATCTATAGTAAGAGCGTTTGCATTGTTGAGTCACTTAATATATAATGATAAGCCGGTTTAATGTAAACAGAAAGGGACAAAATTAATTGGTAACGATGGATATCTAGAATCTTAATCTTTCCTCGAAAATTTAATCATTCCTAGATTAACACAAACGATTTAAAAAGAGTTTCAAGTAAATGTTTCAATGAATAGATTATCTTTAAAAATCTCTTATTAACTTCGATTACATTCGATATAAAATTATTGACTGACGAACTTTATACTGAGGTATCTGTAGTTCTAACAAGTTAATGTACATTAGGAGGTTACGACGATTATCCTTAATCTGTGTGTTTTGAATTTGACCAGGCCTATCTTCAAATTAGTAGATATGTAGGCTTACAACATAGTAGAAAATGTTGGCAAATGCGATGTCACAAGTACAGTACCGGTACTGTACCTCCTACACAGTAAGCAACGAACCACATAATTCCTTTTTTAACCATTATATAGATGACCCTTCCAGCGTATCCTAGAAAGTCGGCTGATATTCAGTGGGGCCCTCTTAAATTAATGAAATAAATGGGATGCTTTTGTCAACGAAGTCTCTTTATGATAATTGTCTCCATCTTATGAATGTTGAAAAACGGACCCGATACCAGCAATATCGCATTTCTTTTAAAGCTCATTCAGGTAATTCTCCTGAATATCTTACCGTAGATCTGTAGATTTTCGGGACTTTATATTCGTTCCATGACAACCAGAGCAGCGGCACACTTTGACTTGAAGGTTCTAAGACTTAAATTATAATCTACTACAGATGTTACTTGGATTATTTTGCCCCAAGTTTAAACTAATTTACCACTGAGTTTAGCCAGTGCACATCTTTTGCATAAAAAACAAACATACAGTAGAAACCTGTTAAGTAATGTTATGGCGAAATTAATTTAGAATCTTACTCTTATGTGTGTGTGGTTTGGGAAATATCTACTGTACAGCGTGGAGCAGATGATTGTGGTAACGGTGGTAATGACTACAGTAGTTTCAGGTGGCAAGCATCTACACTTATCCATTAATAGGGTAATTGCTACAACAGCATCTCCATGCGCCGGTATGAAATACAAAGGTATTTTGATTTGTATATTTCATTTGATCTGTATCAGTAATTTGCGACAACCTTATCAAAATGTCAAGGTAAAGATCAAATGAAGATATGTTTCATTGACTTCTTTTTTAGCTTCTTTTCAAGAGGGGCTCCTTTTCAAGAGATCCTTCTTTTCAGGGTTATTGTTTCCAAATTAATGAGGGGCATTCCTTTAATTATGAATGTATAAAGAGATGCGATCAAGGTACCAATCGGAAGACAATAAAATCAAAATTGATACTGATAGGCTATCATAATTATTAGAGAGAGCATCAGTCTGCATCACGAATTGAAATTAAACTTTTAGGGTTCATTTCTGTTTCTTTTACATTCACTTGCAATAATCACGATATCGAAAAGAAGCCCATACTTCATATCTTGAAAAGAAGTACAGATGGGCTTCAATTCCAGATTATTTTTGCAAACTAGAGAGGGGTGGGGAAATTTTTTCGAGTTTGTTCTTTCTATTGGGCTTTTGTGAGGTAGTACTGTATTATAGCTATTCTTTTGTCCATTATTCAACCATTATGTATTTATTAGATTATCACGTGCCCAATATAATTATAGTACCTGAACCTTGATTTTGATGTTCAGTATGGTCCACTTTGAAGAGAACAGGGCTCTTGAAACATGCTTTGAATACATTTTTCATATTCCCGAAATTTCAAATGTTCAAATTCATGTTGATTGATATTTATATATATAATACTATGTCTAGACTAGAAAGATCGTCATTGCCTTAAAAAAAAAACTTCGATAATAAACAATAGGCCTAACAAGTGTTTACATACCTCATCGCTAGCCGGCATGCATTATGGGCTAGCTAGCAGCTAGCCAACTCAAGGAGGTATAAAAATAAGACTACTACACACCTATGTTGGCAATCAGAGATTGCAAACAAAGCCATCATAAAATGCATGTTAGACGTGCCACATTTCTAGTAACAATCATTACCTCAGTAAAACAAATGAAAGAGTGCTTAACGTAGCACTGGTGATGCATTTATCATTGTGAAGATAGCCCTTGGCTATCAGACTACATTTTTTTTTATATAAGAACCAGTGAAAGTTTGACTAGACTCAGTGGCTCAAAATGTTCTTATTTTGATCTTATTTTTAACACACTTTTCAAACTTAGAAAATATTTATTGTACAGGCTCAGCATATTAGCCTGCTGTACTTTATTATAGAGGGTATTTACATAGTTACACCTACTACATCAATAAGGTACAGATAACATTTGTTGGTTTTTCGGGGTTTTTTTTTCAAATAAAAATCTCATTTGACATTTCATCTCGGCCTCAATTTTTTCTTATTTTGTTTTTAATTTAAAGAAATTTCAGCATCAGTGTTCTTATAAAATGTTTTCTAATAAAAAGTATATTATATATAATTAATAATAAAATTTAAAGAAATATAAAATTAAGAACGTTCACTGTAGAACTGAGCACTGACAAAAGTTTTTTTCTCATTAGCTACATTAAATAATTGGAATAGTCACCATATCACATTGTTAATACCTCTTCCATAAACAAGTTTAAAAGCCACCTTGAAACACACTGGCAAAACAACAGCCTGAAGTACGAACCCTACCAAAGTGGATCATAGAGGGACTAACAAACCTTAACAGGTTTCCACTGCAAAGGTCTAAAAAACGAGATCTCTGAAAAAATACGTACACATGATATATATATATATATATATATAT